TGTCGGGTCTGGTTTGGAGTGAACTACTATCGGCTTGACTTGATTCGGTATCTAGCCACCCCCCACGAGGGTTGCATGTGGCACAAGGCCGAGTTTATCGTGGGTTTCCTGAGCCCGTAGGCTCGGCCAAAAAATGCCTGTAAAACCCGTAAAAACGAGATCGGGTTGGTATTTCTCCCCGAACGAGATTCTGCCTTCGGCGGAACCTCGTCCAGGTTCCTCTCTGCTCAGAGGCAGAAAGTTGGACCGTCGCCGAGAAGCTCGGCTTGAATCGGTATTTAGCCATTTTTTTTCGAGGGTTGCATGTGGCACAAGGCCGAGTTTATCGGGGTTTCCCGAGCCCGTAGGCTCGGCCAAAAATGCCCGTATAACCTGTAAAACGAGATCGGGTTAGTTTATTTTCCCTGAACGAGATTCCGCCCTTCGGCGGAACCTCGTCTAGGTTCCTCTCTGCTCAGAGGCAGAAAGTTAGACCATCAAGTCGAGAAGCTCGGCTTGAATCAGTATTTAGCCACCCCCCACGAGGGTTGCATGTGGCACAAGGTCGAGTTTTATCGTGGGTTTCCGAGCCCGTAGGCTCGGCCAAAAATGCCCGTATAACTCGTAAAAACGAGATCAGGTAGGTCATTTCTCCCCGAACGAGATTCTGCCCTTCGGCGGAACCTCGTTCCGGGTTCTTTCTGCTCAGAGAAGCAGAAAGTTCGACCGTCATGTCGAGAAATTCGGCTTGAATCAAAATATCCCGTAGCCACCCCCAACGAGGGTTGTATGCCTGACACAAGGTCGAGTTTATCGTGGGGGTTGCCTGGAGCCCGTAGGCTCAGCCAAAAAAATGCCTGTATAACTCGTAAAAACGAGATCGGCGGGTCATTTTCCCGAACGATTCTGCCCTTCGGCGGAACCTCGTCCGGGTTCCTTTCTGCCCAGAGGCAGAGAGTTCGACCGTCAAGTCGAGAAGCTCGGCTTGAATCAGTATTCAGCCACCCCCACGAGGGTTGCATGTGGCACAAGGTCGAGTTTTATCGGGTTTCGAGCCCGTAGGCTCAGCCAAAAAATGCCCGTATAACCCGTAAAAACGAGATCGGGTTGGTCATTCACCCTGAACGAGATTTTGCCCTTCGGCGGAACTCGTCCGGGTTCCTTTCTGCTCAGAGGCAGAGAGTTCGACCGTCAAGTCGAGAAGCTCGGCTTGAAACAGTATCTCAGCCACCCCCCACGAGGGTTGCATGCGACACAAGGCCATTTTATCGTGGGTTTCTGAAGCCCGTAGGCTCAGCCAAAAATGCCCGTATGACTCGTAAAAAACGAGATCGGGTTGGTCATTTTCCCCGAACGAGATTTTGCCCTTCGGCGGAACCTCGTCCGTTCCTTTCTGCTCAAAAGCAGAGAGTTCGACCGTCAAGTCGAGAAGCTCAAATTGAATCGACCCTCTTTCTTGAGAGGGCGTAATATACATAGTGTTAGGAAGAGTTCATTCTTTAGTTATAGGTAAGAACCCATGACAATAATCCATGGAGGTATTGATATTTCGTAAAAAAATAAATAAACAAAAACAATTCACTTGAGAGAGATGAGATAAATGCTTTTAATATTTGCTTCATCTTTGAGGTAGATGAATACTTTTCATTTAAAAGCTGGCGGTTGAAGTTCGAAACACGGCAAAATGATCGGATTTTGAACGCTGGCATTTTCTTTTTCAGGGCAATAAATTAAAGTCAGTCTCTCGAATCACTTCGATTATATATATATATATATATATATATATATATATATATATATATATATATATATATATAGTATTGTTAGCATAGCCTTGGGTATTTCTGGCTTGTGGTTGAACAAACCAATACCCAAGGAAAATGAGGAAATAAAAAGAAAGAACTAAGATCATGAAATAGAGACGGAAAAAAATTCGTCCAGACTTTCAGAGTTCAAAGAAAAAAAACCCTCCAAAACGAGTAAAATGCAACTACGTAAAGTGCTCAATACACAAAGTAGAGTAAACCTAATATAATCCTAAAGAACCAGGTAAACCTACCTACGTTTCACCTAAACGGATCTTCAGGATAAAACTGGCCAGTTTCACCCTGACGATCCGTTTAGATGAAACCTAGGTAGTTTTACCTGGCTCTTTAGGTGTATATTACACACACACACACACACACACACACACACACACACACACACATATATATATATATATATACTTTTTGTGTGTATATGTGTATAAATATGTCTGGGCGCTTATATATTATAATCTGATTGTGTTTATTTTACGCGTGAGTTTAGGACCCCATTCACACACTTGGGATTAAAATGTATACATATTGTCAAATGACCGGATATAAAATTAGCTTCTAAAGTAACTTCAATGAAGAAATAAATTGAATAACATATATATTTCTTCTTTTCTCCTCAGTAATTTTATAGTTGTAAACTTAATAGCGATTAAATTTTGAATTTGAAATTAGCAGTTTTTAATTTTAATATTAAATTTTATCATATAATTTAGTAATTATTGGTTAGAATAAATTCTTTTTAATATTACCCCTATTTAAACATCTGAATAGCTATTATAACATGACTTCGTTGTCAAGTTTTTGAATTTTCCTATACTTGTATTTTGATTGGTCAATCTAGCTTTTGTAACAACGTTTTTTAACTTGCGAAGGATCGTTAATTAATTTGAAACTTTTAAAAATTTTTAAAATTTATTTTACATTCAACATCATTATTTGATAAGACACCGGAGGTGTTGAAACAAAATAATTATTTTTGTAGTGATTTTATAACATATTTATGTTATAATTTTATTAAATAAATAATATATATATATATATATATATATATATATATATATATATATATATATATATAATTATAAAGAAGAGAAGAGAGGTGCCGCAAACGTTTTTGGTTGTAATGGGATTTATTTAGAAAAAATATTATACTTTGTTTTACATAATTTTACGACACATATTTGGTCTCCGACTGTCTTCAGGTAAAAGTGGAGATTTCCACATATTATTAAAAATAATTAATTTTTCCTTATGTTCAATGTTAAATATTCTCGATATGAGACATTCTCTGTTTGTGTGTTGGTAATCCGAATTTCAAGAATCCAAGAAGGAAAATTCTTCTCGTTGGAACCACTACAACATATTTCTTTTATATATATATATATATATATATATATATATATATATATATATATATATATATATATATATATATATATATATATGTTTGTGTGTGTGTCTGTTCTGACTTAAAAATATATTATATTTTCCTCGGTTTCTAGAAAAAAAAATTTAATTAATTTTTTTCACCTAAAATGTGCCATTTTTTTTCGATTATAAATATCACGACGATATCTTCCAACGATACAGTAATTTGTCTTTTTTTTTTTTTTTTCGTCCAATTTCGACAATCATTCAAACTTTAACTAACAACTAATCAATAAATCACGCTTTTTATTGTTCTTGGGAGCACGCATTCTCTGAGGTCGACCAAATCTTCGTGTACACATACCACCGTTTAGCACGTTCAAGGCTACCTTTTATATTTTAACTCTTACTTGAATTCTTTTTTTTTTCTTTTTTTTTGGTTAGAATTACCAATAGAAATTATTGTGTAAACCTATTTAAGCTTTTATTTTGAGAAATTAAATAAGAATTATTAAACTAATGCGCGTCATCATGACTGCTTGTGGTTAATTCCATCGTGTAATGTGAAGATTTTGCGTGTTCCGCTTTGTACCTGAAAATAAGCTGAGCTAACTTGCATTACTAATGAGAAGTACGCCAATTCAATATTTCCTTGAGTTAGGCTTTTGTTATGACGTGGGGGTCTGGTATGACGCAACACTTAACTCAACAGAGTCAGTCGTGATAGCAATATTCAGTTTTCAGCTAGACAAATCACTGCAATAGTATTATCTTCACCCTAGACGATTACCCAGGACTACTTAACAGGCTTTTGCCACAGTAGCATTAAAAAGTAGCTGAATTCGCTACTTCTTAATTCATGTTTGGTTTGTTTTGTTTTGTTTCACGGCATATCAATCCTAATGGGTTATGTAATGCCGATTAGAATTTTATTGCTGGTAATATTTTTTTCTAAAAATGCATTGTTGGTATTATTTTTTTCAAAAACGCATCCCTGGAATTTTTTTTTCCAAAAATTTACTGCTGGTAATAATATATTGTTAATAATTTATTTCTTCAAAAATGTATTGCTGGTAATAATTTTTCCAAAAAAAGTTTTACTGGTTTAAAACCTATTTTTATACTTTCATAGTGCTTTAACTCCCAGTTTGGGGGTTAACTATTTTCCTATAGCTGGGACTCTAACAGGTGCTGCCACTCCGGGTCAGGGAGGATCTGGGAAAAACAGCAATTAAGAGGTGGTTCCACGTTCCTCAAAACCTTCTGATCAAAGGCCTTGCTGTCGGATGTAGTTTATCGTCTCACCCAGGACGGTGTTAATTCAGTGTGCGAATCCTGTTTGCTGTTTACCATTCGATTAACAAACACGTGCTTATTAAGTGGGGGATCAGATTTTTTTATAGTCAAGTAATAAACAGATCCCCCACTTTTTTTTACAGTCGATTATATACGTTTCTCTTTTTGCGAGACAAAAACACACTTGAAGGCATGTTAAGCTTGTAAACGGCCAGGAAATCTTCTTGGGGGGTCGAAATAATATTTGTTTACAGTGGTGTTCACCCTGTACAAGGCCCTGGAATCACTCGAGGTAGAAGGTTAAAAAGTAAGAGCTACAGCTTATACGGATATGTGCGGAAGATAATGGTTAGACTTGAACAGCTTAAGAGTGTAGTGATCGGGGAAGCAACACCTTGGGAGTCGTTACCAAAAGGCAGCCGTTCGTAGGAAGATGCTGCTTGAGTGAAACTTACATCTGGTCAGGAGGGGGGGATGTGAAGGGAATGAGCGTGGTTCGCTATATTTCGTCTATATTCGTGAATAGGTCGGTATATCTTAGATATATGCTTGGGTATACCATAGATAGATAGATAGATAGATAGATAGATAGATAGATAGATAGATAGATATGAACAGAATGAGATAGATAGATAGATAGATAGATAGATAGATAGATAGATAGATAGATGTAGAGAGACATATAGATAGACAGATGTGAGCAGAATGAACTAGATAGATGTAAACAGAATTATATTGATAGATGGATAGATGTGAACAGAATAGATAGATAGATAGATAGATATTAGGTTGGTGCAAAAATATTGACGTAATAATGTCAAAAGACGTATTTTTTAACGTCAAAAACGACATTATTACGTCATTATTTTTGCACCAACCATAATAGATAGATAGATAGATAGATATTTTGATAGAGGTAGAGAGACATATAGACTGACTGATGTGAACAGAATGAAATTGATAGATGGATAGATGTGAACAGAATGGGATAGATAGATAGATAGATAGATAGATAGATAGATAGATAGATAGATTCTTTTCTCACCGATGAAACATTGCTAGTCTCTAGATATTATATCCTCATTTTCATGCACAATGTTCTGGCGAGCTACATTCCTTAGATACGCTAGTTCAGACCTTCACGGTGTGGACTCTCCATGCCACGTAGATAGAGTCGATTCATCCATTCTCTTCGTATCCCATTTATAGTGATGAACTTTCCTCAGTCAGCTTCGTCTCTAAATCTGTTACCTTGTCCAACAGATACCCGAGAGAATGCATTCCTGATCACTATAATCTTGGCTTCTGTCCTACAAATCTAGATGATATGCGCTTCTTAATCCCTACTTGTTTGCCCCAACAACAAGTTAACAAGTCAAGGGCCAGGCCTGACGGCTTCCTAGACCGAAGACAACGATATGGACCGACGGTTTCAGAAAGAAATGCCAAGACGGACGGGTCCCTATACTGAAGACAACGGCCAATTAGTTACTAGACTGAAAACAACATCCAGGACCGACGGCTTCCATGACTGAATTCAGTGACCAGGGCCGATGTCTTCCAAGACTGAAGTCAACGACCAGGGCCGACGATAATAGACTGATGTCAGCGGCTAGGACTGACGGTTTCTTACACTGAAGTCAACAGGCAGGAATTATGGCTTGTTAGACTGAATTCAGCGGCCAGGGCCGACGACTTCCTAGACTGAAGTCAGGGTCGACGGCATACGAAACTGAAGTCAGCGGCCAGGAAATACTTCTTCCTAGATCAAAGTCACCGCCAAGTGTCGACGACTTCCTGGATTAAAGACAACGACCAGAACCAGCAGGTTCCTAGATTGAAGTCAACGGCGAGAGGTGACAGCTTAATGAACTGATGTCAACGTCAGGTCCGACTGCTTCCTAGATTGAATTAAACGGACAGGGCCTACGATTTCCTAAATTGAAGTCAACGGCCAGTGCATGCGTCATAATAGACTGAAGTCAACGGCCAGGGCCGATTGCTTCATTGACTGAAGACAGCAGCCAGGGCTGAGGATTTCCGAGACTGAAGGCAACGGCGAGGGCCCACGGTATCCTAGACTTAATTCAACGGCCAGCTCCGACTGCTCCCTAGAGTGAAATCGACGATCACTGCTTTCTAGATTGAAGACAAAGACAATGGCCTACTGATTCCGAGACCGAGGACAACGACCAGGGCTGACGGGTTCCGAGACTGAAGACAACGGCCACAACCGATGGCCACGTAGACTGAAGACAACGACCATTGAAGACGTCTACCAAGACTGTAGACAAAGGTCAGAGCCGACGGCTTTTTAGGCTGAGAAAAACGGCCGGTACCGATGGGTTCCTGGATTGAAGGCAACGGCTGGAACCGATTGCTTCCTAAACTGATGTCCACGGCCAGAGCCGACTGATTCCTCGACTGAAGACAACAAAAAGTGCCGACTGTACCAAGACTGATGTCAGCGGTCAGGGCCGACTGAAGACAACCACCAGAGCCGACAGGTTGCTAGCCTGATGTCACTGTCCAGGGCCCAGGGCATCCCAAACTGTAGTCAGCGGCCAGGACCTACTTTTTCCTTGACTGAAGTCAACGGCCAGGGCTGAGGCCTAATAAACTGGTGTCAAAGGCCGGAGCTGACGACTTCCGAGACTGTAGTCAATGGCCTGGGTCGAAGTTTTCGCAGACGTTGATGTCGACTGCTTACTAGACTGAAGACAATGACCAAAGCCGACAGGTTCCTAGACGATGGCGAGTGCTGACTGCTTCCTGGGCTGATGTCAACGGTTCTTAGACTGAAGACAGCAAACAGATCTAATGCCTTCATAGACTGAATTCGACGGCCAGCGCCTAGGACTTCGTAGATTGAACTCAACAGTCAGGGACGACTGCTTCCTAGACTGAGGAAGGCAGCCAATGCTGAGGGGTTCCGAAACTGAAGTCAACTCACAGGGTCGACGGCATCCTCAATAGAATTCAACGGCCAGAGTCGACGAGTTCCTAGCCTGATGTCAGCGTCCGGGGCTGACGATTTAATAGACTGATGTCAGCAGACAGAGACAACCTCTTCCTAGACTGATGCCAACGGCTATGACCGATTTCATCTTTGACTGAAGAAAACGGCCAGATCCGACGGCTTTCCAGACTGAGTTCAGCGACCGGGACCGATGGCTTCCAAGACTGAGATCAACGTCCAGGACTTACGCCATAATAGTCTGACGTCAATGGCCAGGTCCAACGGCTTTATAGGCTGAAGACAACGACCAGGGCCGATAGATTCC